TGTTAGATATTGTGATGGATTCAAAAAACTCGAGGAAATGCAAAGAAACGCGAATAAGGAGATCTCTATAGTGGCCATTGAGATTGTCGAGCTTTGTAATTCAAACTTAATCTGAAACTGTTGCGAGTATCTTCCAGCACTTTTTATAACTCGATGTAATAATTTTAGGCATTTGTATACGAATTTATTTTTGTTTAGATAAATAATTCAAATAAAATCGGATTTCCAACATACTTTTCGTGACGTTTTGATTGTTTCCGCTTCAATTTGAAGACTTACACAGTTCTTTCATGGCAGATAATAACATCAAAAACGACAAACCTTTTGGAAACGTATTTATTAAAGGAAATCCTGTAGAAAGTTGGGCAAGGCCGCTAATCAAACACCTTTAATCACTTAATTTCTTCCGTGATAGAATACAAATATGATAATTTGTTTCTGAAGACTCGCTTCTCATGAAGCCCTTATATAAAAGGCCATTATCCAAATTTAGCAAAATTAACTTTGTTTACAAAAAACGTCTTTTTGTCTTCTTCTGTTTTTTTCATATAGTAAGAAAAAATAGACCTTCCTTCGTCATTGCAAAGCTTACTTCATATAAGAAGACTTACAATTTGCCATACGTAGTCCAAATCTGGGACAAATATGTCAAGTTAGAGTTAAGGACGCCTGTTGGTCGTACTACGTCTTAACACGAAACATGTTCTGTAGGGTGGACGCAAATTCGATTGATAGACATTCGGTAGAATAAATGAATAAGAAGAAGGAAAGAAACAAATAAGAACAAAGACAGGCCGGCAGATAAGCTTTTTCATTTAGAATATGATTCTGCTTCAATTAGGGATTTCTGCCGGTCCATGTTGTTGACTGGTTGTCGCAGGGGAAAACTTGTTGAATTTATTTGGAAGAAGAATACATAAATGTTAGTTGCTACTTTAAGAAAAACAATTTCTAGTTTTTGCTTTCTTGAGTATTATTGGTTGATTATATAATATTGCACCTCACACAGCTTGTGTACTTGTGTGTGGTACAAGCTGTATTGAGTTTGTGGGAACGTATGTTACACGCAGAAGGCCTAAGATTGACCTAGCTTTTATTATACCGATCGATTCAGAATTATTTTCTGAATATATAGTGGTGAAAAGTCATTTGAAAGAAGGTGGTCTTCAGTTGGCTTTATTTCGTCGCGAACAGTCGCGCGAGTTAGTCGGGTTACTTTTAATAGTTAAGCTTTGAATTGTGTGATGATCTACAGGATTGCGATTGTGACTTGTAACCACTCTCGTGAAGGGATTAAGAAGTTGGTTGACAAAATGTTTAACTTTTGCTAAGCTTTGCTCATCTACATTACATTGGATGGTATTTACAATCTATTCAATGTCGTTGAGGAAGGCAAAGCTATCGGAATTATTATGGATTGTAAACGAGAGAGAGAAGATTACGGTTTTTTTATGTGGAACGAGAGCAGATACGTTAGAGCTTAAATGTTTTAATGCAGTTCACTTGACAGCAGAGAAAAACTTCGGAACATTTCAAAAGTCTTCGGCATTAACAGCAAAGCTGTGATATTTGTGTTGGGATGAGCACACTACTTCTCCAGGGACATTAATTCAAGATTTTCTGCATCATTAAATATTCTTTTTCTTGTACGACACGGCAATTAGACATCAATATATCTATGGGAAAATTCAAATATTTTTTTCCACCAAAGAAGACATTAATGTTTATGTAGTAACGATATAAGTTGTTGCGTAGACCGATAAGTTGTAATGGAGTGTTTTTTTCTTGATTGTAGAAAAGCTGATATGCTCACGCACTGGGCGTGGCGAACTCTTAGAATTTTAATTTTTCCTTCTCATTTGCTTCAATAGTTCGACTTTGTGGCGAAACTATTCTGGGCGATTGCTCGTGATACTCTGCAACAAAGCAAACTTCGATCCAAGAACGCTTTTTAGTAAGTTTGATTGCCTCATTAAGCAACCAATTACTCAACAAATATCCCAAAAGTAAAAGAATATTTAAATCTTTGACTACGAGAAAATTAAACTTTTTATTTATTATCAATTTCTTTTTAAAAGCATCGGCTGACCTAAAGTCGATCTTCCAAACTACGTGGTAAACGATGATTATAGGTTATAGAGCTGCCATAAATGGGGCGTGTAAATGGTTCAGGCCGTCTCGATGCAGAAGCTAAGTGCTAAGGGCGAACGGCTTATATCCGAACTGGAAGCGGACTCTACGGCCATAAAGGTATAATGGTTCATAAATTGTCAATTGTTGACCTTAAATGGAGCTGCAGAAATGATTTGTGTTAACAATTCTTCGAACTGACGATTACTACTGCTGCATGATTTCTCTTGTAGAAAAAGATGCTTACATTCTAGACGGCCCTGCATCGCAACAAACTGATCAAGGTTTGCAAGATATTGACTTGACGAACTTCATTTTGTGCTTTGTCTTTACCTTCAGCAGCTTATAAGCATTCGCCGCCGTAATGTGCACACGTCTGCTGAGATAATGACGTTTTTCCAATATATTTCTTAAAATTTTTCTTATTGTGTTTCTTGTTATTTTTGGTTTCCTTCAAATTATATGTTAAATTTTTGATGGTAACATGACGTTCGGCGATTTAACTGATGGATGTTGAATTTAATCTACGAGAACGATTAAAGTCATCAAGCTATTGATCACATTCTTTATGTTATGCTTGTTCATATGGAGTAGTGCATGCAGGACACGATGATGTACATTCATTGCTGGTAGCCGTACACAACATTTGCAAATACTTCGAGAGCCGTGATTTGAAATCAGAAGAATTGCGAAGTCTTGAATAATTGACTTTTGCTCTAATATATTTAGAATTCTGTCTAAACCTTGACTTCTGGCCTTGACTTTACGTGGCTCGTTATTTTTCCAAACATTTTAAGCGGTGTTACGCTAGAAGTCAAATCGAAAGACTTTTTCTTTGGCTCCTTCAGCATAATTTTTGGTGTTTCCCTGAACAAAGGTGAGGGAAATGGGATCAATTGGTTCAATAAGAGTCGTTGATCAAAGTGTATTTTGCTTTTACGTGCCGTTGAAGTTCACACATCGCCATCGCTCTTATCAGTGCTTTGCAGGGGTGCAGTCACCCCTGGGGTTTTCCTTTTGCAGGGTCTTTCCCAAATCTCGAGCATTATTCTTATCACGCGCACTTTTACCCAAGCTAGAACGTGAATATATTAAAACGTGCCGGCATTCTAGTGACAACATTTGATCCACAATTAGTATCCTTTAAAATTTTCCAAAAAGGCTCCGTGTTGGTAGCAATAGACCGGCCGCCATTTTTCTAAGTGTAGGGGTGGTCGTGGGCCTTTATAATGCGTAGCGCCTGATTATTTTTTAGGCTTATCAACAGTGTTTAACAAAGCATTCGTGCTACCATCAAAACTGCACGTACTACCACAGTGAGATTTTCTGAGTAATTCTGATGTATGTGTTTGTTTCTTCTTATAATACTAAATGTTTCTGTCAAAGAAAAAATTTATTTTTTAATTTTTTTAACATTGTCGCAGTAAATTTATTAATTAAATGTTTTGAAAGTAATAACATTATTACTTTAAGTGTGGATTACAGGTTATTATTTTAAACACATTACATTAATATTGTTTTTGGAAAGGTGTTATTAATAGCCTTAACATTAATTTTATTTATTGTCTGGTGGAAATTGTTTATTGCTTGTCTTCTTGTTACTTAATTTGTCTAGTATTCTGTTTGTAGCAAATTGTGTTATTTTGAAATTATCTTCGTTCAATTCGTGATCAAATTGTGCTGCATAAGTGCTACGCAAAACCAGCGGCAGCATTCAACTGCGGTATTTCAATTCCTCGACATGTACACCTCAAGTAATTGGACATTCGTCTCATTTTCTAATCGTATAAGTATGTATTATTAAATATTTCACCCTCTTCATCTTCCATAGCCAAATTACTACCCAAACTTGGAGCACGCACCCACTCTGTTGTTGTATTAGATGATAACGTCGTTACTTATATGGTATTTGGACGTTTCATTTTCTCAAAATCCTTTTGATTTTGGCTTTCATCTTTTCCAGTATCTTCTCCAATTCCAAACGATTTCCTTTAACGCGTTCTCCACCGTCGACTGTTGCTTCAGCAGCATGCTGTTTTGCTTCCTGACATTTATCATGCAGCAACTGGTTATCGGACCGCAAGTGTTCATTTAATTGTTGCTCCTTTTCAAGAGCCTCATTCATGTTAGAGAGAAGCGTACGTAATTCTTCCCTTTCGACTACATTGGTTGCTGTAACCTTTTCGCCTTCTATTAATTCTGAACTTTGACTTTCCGCTTTTTCTCTAAGTTGCTTTAGTTCATTTTGCATGCTTTCTACTTCTTTGGTCTTACGTTTAATTTGGTCCTCTAAACTTTCGGCCAAACTGTCACGCTCACGCATTAACTGTTCGTTTTGAGCGTGCATCTCTTTTAGACTTTGCTTAATAATTTCTTTTTCTCGTTCTGCTTTAGCCTTAGCCTCCCGCAATACCAGTAATCCAGCTCGCAATTGTTCCACTTCGGTGCACAGATTATCGCAACGCTCCTTACTAATTCTCACTAACAACGAAACCTTTGACAACTGGTGGTCAATTTTCGCACTTTGGTCTTGAAGTCCGTTAATCTGATTTGTCAAATTCTGATTAAGTTCTGCATATTTTTGCGCTTGCTCTTGGGCCCTAAATAGATGCCGCTGGATTTGTTCAGTTTGCGCTTCATATTTGGCGGAAAGCTCCGAACTAAGCTTTTGGAATTGCGAGTTTAGGGCACCGATTTCCAAATTAAGTTTGACATTGGAACGTTCGCTACTATTCAGCGACGCGGTCAGTTTTCGTACCTTCTCTTCATTCGATGCATTCACTTTTTCAAGTTTGTCTATTTTTGTTTTGCCATCTATGTCAGCCGTGTCTGATTTTTGTTTAGCATCCTGCAATGTTCTATTTATATGTTCGAGATCTTGTACTTTGGCAAGCAGCTGCACGTGGCCCCTTTCGGCCCGCAAGAGTCGCTCTTTTAGAGCGCTAGCTTCGCTTTGCAGCAAATCTTTCTCCTTTTGTAATGTCTCAGCAGTTGTTAAATTCGCCTCCAATGTTTTGCACAACTTTTCGTTGTCTCTTTCGAGTTCGATGCTGCGTGTCTGAGCGTTACTCAGTTTCAGAGCCATACTTTCAACCCGTTTAGTGGTTGCCTGATGAGATTCACAGAGCTTTTTATTTTCATTCGTTAATTTCTCGATATTTGTCTCGCTTTTTTCTAAATTTGTTTTGGCATTTCTTAGTTCGTTTTGACTGGCGCTGAGGTGGCGTTCCCAGGACTGACAGCGCTCAATGAAAGACTGTAATTTCGTTTCGGAGGTAGTGCAATGTTTGCCCACCTCTTCTAATTGCTTACGTAGCAACTGATTCTCTTCGCAAACACCTTCTTTTTCCATTCTTATCGAGTCGATTTGTTGTATGAGTTGTGAAACATTTTCATTCGCACGTAATAAATCCGCTTTAGGGTATTTAATCTCATTTCCCGAGATGACTTTGTCAGCATCGCTTTGCAGTGTTCCTTCCTCACGTTCGTGCATTTTTTCCAGTTTTAATATTTCCTCTTCGAAGCCCTTGACCTCAACCTTAAGGCGCTTTTGCATAATTGAATCCTTATTCTCCATTTGTTTACGCATATCTTGGACTTTTTTTTGATTTCGCTCTAGTTTGCATTTCAGGTCTTGATTTTCGTTAATCAACTCTTCTTTTAAATTTAAGTTTTGGTCTTCCTTCTGCTGCAGCTCCTCTATTTTGCTATCTTGGACACTTTGAATATAAAGCAAACGGTTAAGCCAATGACGTAACTGATTAATACCACATTCCGATGAGTCGGCACAAGCGTTGAAAATGTTCTTGATTTCGTCTTTTTGGGCGGTCAGGTTAATATTATTCCTTATCACTACCACCATATCCCTAAGTGCGACGTCATAGCTCTCCAGTTTGTCACAACTTTCCGCCAATTTTCGCATTAATGTGCAGAGTTTCTCTTGGGAATCTTCTCGAACTTGTTCCTGCTCTTCAAACAGCGGTCTATAATCGTTTTCACGTTCAGACAACTTACTAGGAAGGTTCTCATTTTGTTGAGGTAGAGATTCAAGTTGCGATTTGAGTTCATCGTTAAGTCTTTCCAAATTTTCCCCGCGGCTTCCTTCCCCTTGAACGTTGGCCCCCATTTGATCTGCCGAATTCTTTAGAGATGACGGCAAAATGCTCTCTTCTTCTTGTTCTCGCTGAATTTGCAATACAAAGGGGGTTGATTCTCCTAACAATCGCTCTATTTCACTGGTCACTTTAGTTAATTTATCGTTAAATATGTTAAGGGCCTGGCTCTGCTCATTCAATCGCTCCTGCAGTTTTTCTTCTGATATATGCTTGTGTTCCGTTAAGACTTTGTCGATTATTTCCCTCGCTTTAATTCCTTGGTTCAAACAACCTTGCAAATCTTTAATTTGCTTTTTCAAGTAATCGAAATTTTTAACTTCTTCCATTAGTTTGCACATAGCTTTGTCAGAATCAATTAAATATTGTGCCTTCTTAGAAATTTCATATTTAAAGGTATGAATTTCCAGTTCAAGTCTCTCATTCCCCTCGCAGGACTCTATAACGCGTTTCTCAAAACTATGCAAACGTTCACAATTAATCCTAATTCTGCCATTGACCTCCTGCAATGTGCGCACTTCTTTTTCTGCGTCGTTTAATCTACTCTTTATTCCCATGTGTTCGGCTGTTACCAACAATAGCTCCCTTTCCTTATTAGTTTTGTGTTCTCTTTCTAATATTAATTCCTTATTCAATTCCTTCAAACGTTGTTCATGTTCTAATTTCGCCTCCTCCATCTGCTGATGCAATTCGTTTTCTTTTTTATCCAAGTCGCTCTTAATTTGCTCAATGAACTGACTTTGGTTGACCTTTAGTTTTTCAATTTTATCTTCGTATTCAATATTTTGCGCCCTCAAAACGAGTAGCTCCTCACAAGTACTACTGCGCTGGTCAAGCACGCGTTCCTTTTCTTGCACTTGCTTCAGCAAGTAATTCAAGCGGCTATTGCTTTCCTTTTGCGTGACTTCCAGTGTTTCTAATCTAGCTGCCTTTGTGGAATTCTGCTCTACAAGTGATTTAATGTGATATTCAAGTTCCTCAAAAGCATCGACCGAGCTATCAGGCATAGAATTACCGGAACATAACTTTAGTAATTCAGTTCCTTTCCTTTGTAACTGCTCCAGTGTTTGGCTTAAATGGGTACCCTGAGATTCACTGTTTTCGAGAATGGTACGCATGTGTGCAAGTTCTTCGTTCAGTTTAAAAATTTCATTATCCAATTCCTTAATGCGTTCCAGCCCTTGATCTTGATTCCTCTGCAATTGTTGTTTCTCTTGTTTATATTCTTGCATTAATACATCGATACGTTTCGCTAAATCGCTATTCTTCATAGTTAGGTTCGATATTTGCACATCCAAACCGGACATTTCCTTCTCTTTCGACCTAAGTTCATTACACATGGTGTTCGAGTGCTCAGTTGCTTCTCGCCAATTCTCTTTAAAAAGCTCGTTACGTATTAATATCTGCTCATAGTTTCTTTTTAAAGCAATCTCCGCGTCTTGAAATGCTTGTAGCTCCTTGCTTTGGTTTTGAAGTTGATCGTTGAGTGCTTTTATTTGTTCCTCTAAGCATTTGGTCTGAGTCATCCACTTTTCTTGCAACTCTTGTAACTTAGTTTGCAAACCATCTAACTGCTCTTTTAACTGAGCGTTGCAGTCCATTAGTTTGGCATTTATGTTTTCGGTTTGATGCAATTTTGTTTTCAAAGCATTTATTTCTTTGGTCGAGCTTTCTTTGATCTTTTCGCTGTCCGTTACTTGCTCTTTTAAATTTTTCAGCTCTGCCTCACAATTGCTTAAAGAATTTTGTAATCTTTTCTTTGTTTCCTCTAGCTCTTTATTGTTATGTTCAAAGGCGTTTAGATCATATTTCAGCAAGTTTGCGTCTTGGAGTACAGAATCTAATTTACGTGCCAATTCCAAATTCTTCTTTTGCGATACTACAATTTCCTGTTCAAGGGATTTGATCTTATTCTTCTCAAGTTGGTGATGCATGTTGATTTTTTCCATGCAACTCGCGAATATATTAAATTGGGCGGTGGGATCACACTTATCAGTTTCCAAATCATAATCATGCAGATCTGAAGTAATTTTAAACTCATTCATTTTCAATTTTATCATCTCTTTAAGGCGTTCGGCGAATAATTTGTTATTAGCATTCAGCCTATGCAGTTCTGCACGCAACTGAGCGTTTTCGTGTTCCTTTTCACGCAACTGCTTGTCAATAACAGAAGCAGCCAAACTTTCCGGCTCCGGCGGCGTGGACTGACTAAAAACTTCTGTAGCCGGCGAAAATGATGAATCAACCTCAATCGAAGCTTTTAATCCGACTACACGCATCTCAGCAATGAATTGTTCCAACTCGACTTTTGCATCGTTGAGATATTTAATCGTGCTGTCTCTTTTCTGAATCTCTTCAGCAAGATCATTCATTTCACATTCCAAAAGATCAATGCGTTCACCGTACATTTCAATTTGCCATTCATTGTAGGTGAGCTTTTCTTCCGCAAGAATTTTATCTTCTTCCGTGGCTCTTAAGGTTTCACTTAATTTCACGATTTCATTATCCTTCTGCGTTATTTCTTTAACTAAGCGTTTCTGCGCCTGGTCACGCTCAACGCCTTCACGATCGACCGATGAATTATTTTCGTCTGTGGTTTTCACAAGGACATCAATTTTCAATTCTTGTATTTGCTGTATTAACTTTTTATGGTCTTGACTCAGTCTAAGAACTTTGTCTTCGTTTTGTTTTATTTGTATTTCTAAAAGATCTTTTTCATAACGCTCAGTATCAAGTTGGGCTCTCAAGGCAAACAATTCACGTGTTCGTTCTTCCAGAAGATGAGTTTTCGGAGTAAGTAGTAAGTTGCGCCGCGCGCCAATGTTACGTTTTGGTGTCTTCAACGGGGAATCGGTTTCAATGCTAGTGCCTGGTGTGAGGCTATCATTACTTCTGCTGATTGAATGATTAGATCGCGACAATGCATGTGATGCGATCACTTCGGCCACAGCTTCGCGTAAATTGACTTTATTTAATTGTTCCATTTCCAACAATTCGTGGAAAAACTGGGCCATGCTTTGCTGTGAATCGCTCGGCAATTTTTGGCAGATATCATGAAAAAACGTTTGCGGACGTTTAACGCATGAGAAATGCAGCAGCAAAGTATACACGTATATGTAATCTGCCGAACTTAAACCATTATTGTCGTCGCGATTCACTTCAAATTCAGGATAAAATTGTTGTAAAAAGTCCCATAGTTCCGGGCATTTGCTTGAAGCAATTTCGTGATGCTTCTTGCTAAAGTTCATATAGAACTTTTCAATGTCCGATTGTTCTAAATTGAAAAAGTTACATTCGGCGAAGCCGCATTCCGATATCCATTGCAATAGAATATTTTTCCAGCTGCCCATATCCATATTTTCCGTCGCTTTATTATGATATCAAATCAAAGTGTCTGTTCTTCTTTTATGTAATTACTCGTTTCTCTAAGACTTTTTTCCAGAAACCGTGGGACACGCGTTCGTAAATAAATGCAAAGGGCGTATATTATTAATTTCGTTTCCAAAATATTTTCACATTGATTTACTTTTTTTTGTAAGTTCTTTCCACGGCGTAGTAACCTGGATTATTGTTTGAAAAGTTCTATTATATTAACCGTTGGTTTTTTAATTCTTTTTTTTTTCTCTGATTTTTTATAATTGTCGTTCTTTTTTTTTTTTTGATGCAAATAACGCAAGCCTGAAATGTTTGCTTTAAATTTGAAATGATGAAAATTTGTTGTTTATTTATTTTTTGTATCGAGATTGTTACGATTTTCCCCAATTATTTTTACAAGTTTTTATGTGGAGGCAAAATATCTGCTGAGTAATTTTTGTATTTTTTCTTTTAAAACATTGGCATTGCTTCTTTTTTCATTAAAAATTTTGCTTTTACGTTTTATTTATTTATTTATTTTATTGTCGTTTTTTTGTCGATTTGTTTCAAGATTCAATCATGTTTATTTGCTAACAATAACTGTCGATATCACGGTTATCAACTTTCGTTCAATAAATATTGAAAATAGCCAGGTATTTTCAACTTTGTCGGAATTGCTTATATCTTTCTCTTTTATACTCAAATGAGAGACAAGGGAAAAGTGAAATTTTGATAGTCTATAAAATTTGCTGCATGTCGTGGATTCTCTTCATTTTTTTTTTATAGATATTGCGAGGATCTCCCGTAGAATATTATGTAGTTAATTTGTTTTATTTTGTAAGCAGAGCTATTCTCAACTTATGTTGTTCAATTATGACATGCCTTTCAGTATCAGCCTATCTGCAACAACTTTCAACACTTCTATTAAATTTAACATTTTAACCTTACCAGGTAATATTTCCTCCACATATCTATACAGAAGGACATACGGGCGGATAGACAGGTTAAAAATTTGATACTAATCAAGCATGTACTTACTTTATAGGATTTCAGAAGTTTACTTCTGCGCGTAGCAACCATTATGAAAATATACCAACCATTGATGACGAGTATGGAAAAATACGACAGTCCACGCGCCTTGAGTTTCTATTCAATTTCATAAACAGCTCGAAAGTAATTGCGAATGTAGAATAACAGATAATCTTTCAATATAACAACTGGGTAGAACCAAGCAAATTGCGAACATGTCGACTGGTGGTAAAGTTCCGTGTGAACTAACAAGCACCGAGGCCGTTCATAAATCGGAACTTGCGTTAATAAGCCGCTACGTCATAGTCTTCCTATTGTAGCCTTGCAAGGAATTCGAAGCTATCAAAAATCAACGAAGTTGTTGATCCCCAAACTGTCTTTTCGACCTTTGGTGCGTGAAATCGAGCAGAATTTAACGTGTTTCTTAACGATCACTACGGGAACTTTACAGGTGGCCTCTGAAATCCATTTCATTGGCTTATTTAATGTCACTTATCCATCCGTCATTCATGCCAAGCGCGTTACTGTTATGCCGAAGAATAGTCATTTCACTTCATTAACTCGTAGTCAACGTACTTTGAGTCTCTCTGCGTAAAACAGCCAACATAAATGCAATGCATATCTGCACAAGAATTTAATATTAGCTCTAGATACAACTTTTTCACATTTAAATTTTATTTTATTGTAACACGAACAATAATAAATTTTATGTTTTAATAATTAATTAGAAAATAATTTAACGATTACTTAATTAAAAATAATTGTTATATATATCGCAATGCAAACGATAGTAATAAAAAAAATCGCTATGTAAACATCAAAATACTGCTGACCAGATGCTAAGCCTTTCTTTGGAAAACATATACAAAAAGCTTTCGGAATTTTTTCAAACCACTGGTAACAAGTTTTGTATAAAAAAGTCCTTACAAAAAGTTTCATAGTTTATTTTTTTTTTTTAGATTATGTCATGAAGCATGCGAGCGTTTACAGTGAATTTATGAACATACTCTCTTCTACACTTTCTTGCTCTCACACACATCAATTCCTTCATAAAACCTTTTATACCCATATGCATACACATTACTTCTCATACAGCGGAATTTCTGGCCAGTTCTGACACTCAAGTTTTAAAGTTAAAGTAAAATGATTTTAAAGAAATAAAAATTCAAAAAAAAAGGGTCGAGAAAATTAAATAAAATAAGAAAGTAATTCAAACTTGGAAAGATCTCTTCCCGCAAACTGGTTATAATTACGTGGGGGACGTGATAAAACGCAGAACGCGCACATGTATGTATATAGACATCTACAATCAAGCTAACCGACAACTTATTAAGGTTGAAACAAAAAACTTGTTTTTCACATTGAACCTTTTTCTCTCAACGCAAATCATCTATTGTTGATTTGCTGATTCTCAAAAGGAGAAGAGAAAGTCTATGAAAATTTGTTTTTGCTAGGGGTTTTCTTTTCGTTTGTGACATATACCAGGAGGTTTCAATTTTAATTTGTAAATTCTACCCACGTAAAACAGCTGCAAGGCTGACCATCGATTGCATTATACAATCAGTATGAAAATGAGAAGGAGCATGCACATGGAAAATAGTACCCAAATGTCACGAAACATTGTGCGTCCTTAAGATCTGGCGCTGGAGAATTTTTAGGAAACATCGAATATTGCTTATTCGAGGGGTGAATCGAAAATGATGAAACCAACGATCGATGAGGGATACAATCGAGAGGTATAGCTTGTGTAATCTTGCCTCTGCAATGTCGCTGCTCTTATGCCTGTATACGTATTGATGTGGCAGTGGCCCGCGTTTGCATGTAAGTTGGTGTTTTTGCTTGTATTGCCCAACAAAGGGAAAGTGTTGTAATAGAGCGTCCGTTTACTGTCAAAATTTATATAAATCTGCTGAAACCTATCTTTTATTAAAAGGCATTAAATGTTTACCGAGATGACGCATTGTCGAGTGAACATTCAACGTCAATCTGGACATCAAAAATGACTTCTCCGGCCAAGTGCGCTATCCCGTTGTCAGAATCCAGCATTATTTCGAATAACAGACAATTCGCATGAGACGTTGTAGGAAAAGTTGAAGTAAGCAGTAATTAAATTAGTATTGGGTCGATTGGACTTGTAATTTCTTCTTTTTTTTACGTCAAGTTGAGAGATAATCTTCTTATAGCGACGATTCGTGCGATTCCGAATGATCGAATACGAATCAAATTCGAATCTCAGCGACCGCACAGGTTGCTATTCACCAGTTTGCACTAATTACATCGTGTTTTGTCGAAAATGTTGCTTTCGTGATTTCCATAATTTATAGGAGACCAAACAAAAACTATTTGCAATTGCAAGTTCCTGAACGTATTGGCCAAATAAACGGGTCTCGCGATGCTATTAGGTTGGCGAAAGAGTGCTGTTGTATTTGAAATAAAACATTTCAGTTCAAAAATGTTTGACGTGTGCCTTAGCACTTGAATGGTGGGCGCCGAATTCCTTCGCATTTGCAAAGTGAGTGTGAGTGATGCGTTGCGTTCCTTGGAACTCATACCAAATGGTATGTCTTAAATGCACTTTATGCGCTCTGCACTTCGCAACTTACTGATCAAAACAATTCAAAGCAGTCCGCTTATATACCAAGACACGTAAGCTAAATAATAACGCCGTCTATAAAGCATTCTATCCGGTTGACTAGGCCTGAATATTCTCAGCAATGGCTGTCGTTTCTCTCCCTTAAACCTTTTCCTATTTTCTGAAACAAAAAAAAAAAAAAACTAGAAGACAAAGGAGCTCGCAACAGTAAGTTAAGACTATGGATAACCTTAGAATGATATTCAAAAGAGCATTTTGTCGAACCAAAAGCTAAAACTGTACCAGGGCCTACTTCGAAACGAATGCTTACTTTGGTAGATAATAACTTTTTGAGAGAAACAAAAATTTTTGTTACTTTTTGACACTAGATCTCTTCTGTCCCTATGTATTTATTACGTATGTATTTTAAACTAAGCTATGATATTTATGTTTCAATTGTTAAATTTTATGAGATTTTATTTTAAATCAAATTGTTCATCATATCGGTAAGAGAGAGTTAAAGGGACGATGTGCCTTTACAATAGTAGACAAATTTCCTCCTCCCAACGCATGCTCCCTCTCTCTCTCTCTATTGTAAGTTACTAGCAAAACTGATACATTAGCAGATGGTCTGTAATGATAACCTTTTACAACCGTCCTTTACAAATTGTAGCAAAGAATGCGGGTTAAAGAGAAGAGCATGAAATGAAATTTTAACCAAAGAAAAGTATTTTTTAATGCTTGACATATGGAACAAGTTTTTGAAGAAATCAATAAAATTTAAGTGGTTGCCCCACTTAAGCATCCGTCGACTTGAAGCAAAGACTTCATTCTTTTTATTAGTAACGATACGCGTTTGCGAGCACATATGTGTGTGGTTTGCTATAAGCTAGAAACAATAAACTCATTGCGTGTTTTACTCTCCTTAAAAGACCATGGTTCCATTCAGTCTACATGTACATGTTTGTGTGGGCGTTGAAGGGTTCTTATCGGAATCTGTTGCAACATTAGTGTTTGTAAATGTGTTTGTATGGTTTAAGTCTCCAAACATTCTAAATTGTTGCTTTAAGCGAATTATTATAGCAATAACGGAATGCAGTTCGAGGATATATTAGCATTGTGTATATGTATGGCATATGTTGCGACGATTTTCCAAGTTGTGCTAATTATTATCAAAACTTTGCTTCCTTGCGAGTGTGAACTTCCAAATTTGTTACTAAACAAAAAACTCAAGTGCTTATAAAATTATAGTTTTTGAATTTATTCACAACCGAAAGCTGCTGCATAGGCGTTGGTTGTATGCATACAAGTATATTTATGATATAGTATAAGCAAAGCAAATGAACACATCTAGATAAATAATGCGATATTTTTATTAAGTAAGAGAGAAACTATTAATAA